GCGAGGCCCTGCTGTGCTGGCCGCTGTGCGAAGAGCTGCGGGGAGAAGGAGAAGGAAGACTTTGCATACTGAGCGCTGTCTGTCCACAGTCCATGCCCTACAGCCGCGTCCTGGAGGTCTACAGGGAGCACCTCTCCCCCGAGCTGGCGTACTTCCCGGAGCCTCTGCTGCTCCACCAGGGCCACATGCAGTGGCTCTTCGACCACAAGGGAAACAGATACCTGGACTTCTTCTCTGGGATCGTCACCGTCAGTGTCGGCCACTGCCACCCGTGAGTAGCCTTAAAATTCTGGGTTTCCACGCCAGGAGAATGTATGGGGAACAGGTGAATGGCCACCTTAGTGATTCGGGGCCCTGATGAAAAATTCTCTCTCCTGAGGCCCATCCCAGTTTATGGCTGACACGCTCCCTGCTGTTTCCTGGGCAACAGAAAAATCTTAACACTGCCCCCTTCCCTTGGCAACACAAGTTTTAGTCATCTCAGGGCCCGTGCAGTGGGGAGGGCACTGTGTGACCGGACTGCTGTGAGTTTGTGGCTGGGGAGGGAGGCTCCTCACTGGTGACTGCTGCCCAAGAGAAGACATGCATATGGAGAGGCAGAGGACGAGAAAGGGGGGCAGTTCTCACAGCACACGTGTGTGTGGGGGCCGGAAGGGGGTGTGAGGAGAGATGAGAGAGCAGTGCCAGCCTAAGGCTCTTCATCAGCTACTCTGAGCCACGGACGAGGAGAGGAAGGAAGACAGGAGGGTGTAACATGGCTGGAAATTGACATTAGGAACATATGGGCCCATCAGTCATGAGGTTCTCTGCTACCTTAGTCATCCGCCCAACTGACACCATCTCTGAGGAATCTCCTCCTCCCACACCTAGAAGCCACCGTACCCTCCCAGCTGGACTACCAGTGCCAGTTTCCAACCTCCCCCACCACTCCATTCAGATGTATTTTGCTAAACAATGCTTTGGCCAAGGGTCTCTTCTGACGGAGCGTTTATTGGCACGCCACACTTTTCCAAAGGGGGTTCCATGGAACACTGACCACAGGAGAGGTTTGTTGGGAAGAGGTCCTTGGGAGAAATAAGCTCAGGAAACTTTAAACTGTATCTCCTTCCTGGGGAGAAGTTGTGCACATGAGAGTGTTAAAGGTACTGAAAAGTCCTGCAGGCAAGAAATCTGTTTGATCTTGCATATCTCAAAACTGTTCAACTATTAACTGATCTTGGGGTGGGACAGTTCTTAATAACAGATTGGTGTATAACAAACTTCAGCCCTTGCTGTTCTTTAAATCAAGAGCAGACATCTGCATCTGGCTTTTCCAGGCATCCCAAGCCAAATCCTACCTGTCTATCTAGTTCCTACTGTCCATCAACATCACCCTCCTTTCACAGAATGTGGTTTCATAGTTACAAAATATTCAACTTTCACCACTACTGAGACCCAGATATCAGAATCCTCACTGAAGGAAAAGAACATTGATCTTGTCTGCATGTGCTTGACGGGTCTGTAGCTCTTTAAAAAAATAAAATGGGCAGACACCAGGCTGGCATCTAGTGTCTCAAGCTTCCAAACTATTGAAAGTGTAATTACTAAGAACACCTCGTTGGAAGAGGCTCTAAGTCCAAACTCCCTCCTACACTAAGAATTGCTTTTTTAAAAGATAACCATTTAGTCTCCTTCATTACCTTTTGAGGAACATTGCCAGACACCTGTGGTGGTTAGCGCTCTTTCTCACTTGCGGGTGAAATCTTTGCGTTCAGTGGCCAGTGTGTGTGCGGTGAGGGGCGTGCCCAGCTGCAGCGTGAGTAACTCTGCTCCCCGGTTTATCCAGGAAGGTGAACGCAGTGGCACAGAAGCAGCTGGGCCGCCTGTGGCACACAAGCGCCCTCTTCTTCCACCCACCCATCCATGAATACGCAGAGAAGCTTTCGGCGCTTCTCCCAGACCCTCTAAAGGTAGGATGCTCCCAGCTCCAAGGGATGGAGCCTCGGATCCCAGAGGAGCAGCCTGAGGAGGCAGGGATATGGTTAGGGAATTGTGTGCATTGAACAACTGACTAGTGAGCTAGTAGCTGTATCTGGAAGTAATCAAGAAGAAAGGAGTTTGCCCTGGGCAGTTTGGCTCAGTGGATAGAGCATCGGCCTGCGGACTGAAGGGTCCCAGGTTCGATTCCGGTCAAGGGCATGTACCTTGGTTGCAGGCACATCCCCAGTAGGGGGTGTGCAGGAGGCAGCTGATTGATGTTTCTAACTCTCTATCCCTCTCCCTTCCTCTCTTTAAAAAAATCAATAAAATATATTTAAAAAAAGAAGAAGAAAGTTTACAAATCGCTGGTGAAACCAGCCAGTGTTCACTTCCTCAGCTCCAGGCCTCTGGTCCCCACCCTCATCCCTTAGCAGGAGTCCCTCCCCGTCCCCCACTCTCTCCTTTATGTTCCCCAAGAGCTTTGCACCTTTTTGACTCATAGCCTCTCTGCAAAGTCATTAGCATTTTTTCATTTTACAAAGAGGGGAGCCATTTTTAAATAAAAAATATACCATTCAGTTCATTTAGTCTAAGAGGCACTTAGATGTTTTTACTAAATGAGATTCTTCTATATCTGAAATGATTGGATTTTTTAACTGAATTGAGATGTTAAAATCTTGGCCAAGATTTGCAATTAGGGATTCAACGAGTTAATGCATATGTAGTACCTAGGACAGCACCTGTGTTAACTATTATTATTTTACTCTAGTACCCGGATACTCTATTGACTATAGTATCTGGAAGACATGAAAGCTGGAATAATTGTAACCAAAGTTCAGCCCAGTCATGTTTACGAAAGAGCAGAAGCCAGGAAGTCAGCAAGGGCACGGCACATGCCTACACGCTCCCGTCCCCAAGCCAGGAGGACTCATACCCTTCCGTTCGCCCCTTTTGTTTGGCCAAGATGAACTGCATTTTTGTTTGTTTGCTTGTTTTTTCACCATTCACACACAGCTCAGGCTGGGATGCCCTTTGGGCTGCAGGATCAGGGAGCCTCCTAGTCCCAAGCCCTCAGATCAGTTTAGGGTTAAGGTTAGGGTTTGGGTTCAGGTTAGTTAAGTTCAGAAATCAAGAGACCTGGTGCTTAGATCCACTCAGCCACTAACCACTGTGTATAACTCAGCACGTCTCCCCACCTAAGCATTTTGCAGAGCGTCAAACAAAGCCAATGAAAATCCAAAACGTTTCACACTGGGACAATCCCTGAGACATTTTTGCATCTCTAGCTCTTAGCAGCTGCTCAATGAAAAGCTGTAGAATTACTACAGTAGTCAAATGACAGAACTGCTAGGAAACTCTCCTTAATAATCCGGGCTGGGACACAGTCTTCAGCAATTTTGAATTAATGGATAATAAGAAAATAAACTGAAGTATGACCTCACATGTCTTTCTTTCCCTCCAGGTCATTTTCTTGATGAACAGTGGCTCAGAAGCCAACGACCTAGCCATGCTGATGGCCAGAGCACACTCAAAGAACACAGACATTATTTCATTCAGGTAACCACACCTCGGAATATCTAACTTGAATGGCATTGACTTACCCCAACACTAAATGTCTAGTTGTAAAATACAGTGTGGAGGGTTATGTTTCTAATTTTAGGTTTTAAGGCAAGATCAGTCCAACGAATTTGATGACTGGATGACCCCATCCAAATTGGCCTGATCCGAAGTAGGGGTCCCTGACTGCATAACAGCGTGAAGTCTAGTAATGTCATAGATCTCCTATGGAAGCGAAGGTCACCTCACAGCTCTTTTTACTTTGAAGATGTACTTTGATGATGACATATGCCAAGTGGAGAATTACTGGTCTCCACTCATAGAAACTCGTGACTCTACCACAGGACCTGGGCCCACTTCATCTCCGCTTATGATAATGAGCCAGTCGGCATTCATAGCTCCAGCTGCACCAGGCTTCCATGTTTTCTTCTTTTTCAGTTCATACTTCTGTTCCCTTGGGTGACTTTTGAGAATTGGTCATTTAATAGGTTAATTATTAACCCTTGATAGCTAAATTATTAGCGTTAGAAATAATAGAACACTAAGAATTTTGCTTACAGTTGCCTCCCTCAGGTAATTTTATATAGCACATTTAAACACTATTACAGTAAGGTTTATGCAAAAGACAGGAGTGAGTTATAGTAAAAATTGATGGAGTAAAGAAATAGTCCCATTCTTTCTGCCATATTATGTATGGCCATAATTTCTGTCTAGATTGGAAAGAAGATTTCATTTCAGCACAATTTTACTACCAAAGCACACCCAATAGTACAGATTCCATATAAAAAGCACATATAGTAACAGCAGGCATGAGCAAACGTTTGCTATTAAAGAAGTATGACTGTAAAGAGTTGTGATGGATATTTTACCTAAAGAAACATTCCAGAAGGTGTATGTCCAGGCAAGTATTAATCTATTCAAAGCAGTCACGGTGCCACAGGGTTCATCACATGTCTGTGTCTCCTCTTTCAAGATAGATGACCATCTATTTGCATAGGATTGGTCTTCGTTCAGTCCTAAATCTGCATTGTGCTTGATTTTGATTTGGGAAATTGCCCAAATTCATTTGAAGCCAAATTGATGATTAGGATGACTTATACTGAATAGGATTGTTTTGGGTTCAAGAAGAAACAAAACCTGTGTTTCTTCTTTGGCAAATCAGGTAGCTTTTAAGGCACTTTTTAAAAAAGAGTCCCCAACGATGTTGAGCAATAGCTGCATCACAGGAAGAAACATTTGGCTTCTCAAGGTGACTATTTCAAAGACAAATACTCATTGAATATACAAGGTGAGGCAAAAGTAGGTTTATAGTTGTAGTATGCAAAACATATATACTGGAGGCCTAGTGCCACTGATAGGGTCCCTTGGCCTGGCCTATGCCCTCTCGCAATCCGGGACCCTTTGGGAGATGTCAGGCTGCCCGTTTCAACCTGGTACCCACAGGCCAGGCTGATGGACCCCACCAGTGCATGAATCTATGCACCAGGTCTCTAGTATGCACAGAAGATCTTTGGTTAATCTCTTCCCACCCTTCCCCCTCCCCCTTTCCCTCTGAGATTCATCAGTCTGTTCCATGTTTCCATGCCTGTGCATTGAGCGTCTGCCCCGTGGTGGTCAGTGTGCGTCATAGCTACCGGTTGATTGGTCGAAGAGTCACTTGGGCTTTTATATATATATACTAGAGCCTGATGCATGAAATTTGTGCAAGGGACTCAGCCCTCGCAGCCCCAGGGCCTCGGCTTCATCTGGAATGTCATCTGGATGGTCCTTCAGCTGTTCTGTCTAATTAGCATATTAGCTCTTTATTATATAGGATAGATTATTTATTAATTTTTGTATTATTTCCATACGAACAACTGTAAACCTACTTTTACTCCACCTAGTATAATTTTTGTCTTGTTGCTGGAAGAGGAGCCTCACTCCTTTAGAGTAACAGTAAGTCAGGTGGTAAAGTCAGAGTTCTTGGCTAGATGGTCTCCAAAATCTCTCCTACAATTTCAAATCTATGACATCAGCA